ATCGGGACACCCCCTCTGGCGATAGAAGGGGTCATCGGCATGGATGACAACCTCTCGCCCAGCACCATGACTCCCAGGGACCCCTCGGCCACGTCCCCCTCTGTTCGGCCAACGCCAGGTGCCGTCGCTCGGGCCGTCGATGGCACGGGTCGCACCGGAGCCTCTGGCGCCACTGTGGTTGTGCCCGGCTACAACCCATCTATCACGGCCGCTGCCACCTCCACTTGCATTGGTAGGGTCACGACCAGCTGCGTTGCGCCCGCCATGATCGGTGCCATGAGCATGGTCGGTAGTCCCGTCCGCCCCATCGTCGATAGCGGTATCGCGGCCATCAATGGCTACTCTACGACCTTTCAAGGCACCCCTTGAGCCCCCACATCTACCCATCCCACCGAGAGCACGGGCGCCACCATGTGCAGAGTCCGATAGACCGACGACGCGGTCACACTGGCGCCGCTCCCACCCGAAACAGGCACGATGTTAGCCGACGGTTGCCGCCTTGATTATAGGGCAATGCTCTTCTTTGGCACTAATGCCAAAGGATTCTGTTGCCTGCCAATGCTACAAGGGACGAAAAGCATAAGTCAGGACAAAATCCGACTAAAATAGGAAAAAATAGAGGAACTGACAACTCACCTCAACGCCGTCGGGCGGCAGATGCGTTTGGGGGGTGAACCCTCTGACCTTTGCTCTGCCTCATCAGAACGAGGCCGTTTCGAGCCTGCCCCTGCTCCTGGGTAGAGGGGCTCGCTCCCCTTAGTTCTTGGGGCGCGACGATGGAACTGCCCACCTTCGCTGGCACCTTAGGCGCGACAACAGAACCTCCCGCCCCTATTGGCTCATGGGGCAGCCGACGGTATGACCTGCTTCCGCTGGCTCCCCTGACGTACCCTCCCCTTTGTGGAATGGGAAGGGCCCCGATGCCTGCAAGGACAAACCAATACCTATCAGCACATCCTCGCTCTCTAGGTTGTCCCACTCAGTATGGTCAGCTACCTCATCGTCATCTCCATCGTCATCGTCATCATCGCTGTCAGTATCCTCCCCTCATTCCCGTGCCCACAGCTTCCGCTGCTTCTTCCTCTTCTTGCCCTCCTTCGCCTTCCTCAGCCGCTCCCCCTCAGTGTGATTCACCGACCTCATGGCTGAATCCCTCGGTAGCGGCGCTGGGTGATCCATGAGGATGAGGTCCCTCGGCTGGTCCCACCCCTCTCAAAGTTAATCTCAAGGGGTCAGGAAATCGATTGAAGAGAAGGCAAGAGAAAGGGAGACTTACGAAGATGATGTAGCCTGGCTCTGGCCACATATGAGGATGCCCCGGCACTGGGTAGATGAAGTCAAGGGTAGCACCCATGTCGTCCCGCAAAGGCTCCATTGCCTCCTTGATGCATTGCATGATCTCAGAGTTGGGGAGCGTCCCCTCGGCGAATGTCGTTCCGTCGAACGACACCTCGGGTGCCATCACATATAGCAGGAGCACGCGCATCATCAAAGGTGCCACCCTCCTTGCGTGGTAAGCCCCGATTACACCCGACCCCTTTAGGCCATTCTCTTTCAAGATATGGATGGCGATGATGTGGTTTTGGATCTTCTTCTTGTCCTTCTCTAGGACGCCCCACTTCCTCCACTGCCCCGAGGCCTCTTCATTCAGGCACCCAATGAACTCTGATAGAGGGGCGGTGGCACCGTTCTTGAGATAGAACCACTACGAGTGTCACCCCTTGTTGCATGTCGAAAGCCACATGGACGGGTACTCGCCGACCCGATTGTTCTGAAGTTGGATGCCGGCGCACCCCATCGGCATGTGCAGCTCCCGCCTGCCTCTTTTCTCCCTCTTCTTCTAGAGGGTGATGGCAAAGTGGGGGCTGATCCTCAGGAATCCCTTGCATAGGGTGACGAACGCCGCCTTGTGTTGGATCCCATTGGGATTGAGATGCTGTAGCTCAATCTTGTAGTAGTGCAGCAGCCCTCGAAGAAATCTGTGGGCGAGGGTCATGAACCCATGCTCGTGGAAGTGGGCGAACGACACCACATAGCCATCGGGTGGCGATGGCAAATCCTCCTCATCGGGCAGCAGCCACACCTCGGTCGAGGTCCGCACGCAGAGAAGACCGCGATGGACGAGGCCCTCCATGCGCTGGAAGGTGATGTCGGAACGGCACCACGGATCCATTGGAGGAGGGGGTGGATGGATATGGGCTCAACGGCGGTGGAGATACAGAGGCAGGAAACCTAAGCTATTGGCGGCAGCGGTCGTGGCTGCGGAGGCAAGGATGCAGGCGTGTGTATAAAGCCTAGGGGCCAATCCTTTGGTTTTATAGGGGCAACGTGTGCGAGGAAACCAACCGCTCACCTGGATCTCCACGCCTGCCACGATCTACCACCTCATCTCGCCACAGGGCGTGCGCACGCAACCTCTGTCCATTCCCTCGGAAAACTCGCTAGACATTTTGCCTCTCTGGACGAGCCATGACCCATCACAGGTAAGAGGAATACGGAGCTAGAAATGCTACTATGGCCCGTTTAGGCCCATGAGTTCAAAGGTTGGCCCACCGACGGGTTCGACAACTGCTCCGGGCACCTTTAGAGTAAGGGGTGGAAAGGGATGGGCCCGCTAGCGGCCAGTACCCGAGCGCATGAGCGCCACGGGCATTCTGGCCCACATTCGAGTCTCGGCCAGGTACGATCCATGGGTTTTCCTTGAAGAAAGGCACAGAGCCCTCGGGACCAGTCGAACGGACCCGAGAACTATATGGATTGACCGCTGAGAATCTAGAGTCGGTCACCAGCTGACCCAAGCTGGATCCCCGTGAACAGGATGCCGAGGCCCCACTCGGACTAGCCAGCTATCAACTCACCAAGCACCTTGGCTCGTCCATAGAGGAAAATCATGGCATGGCTCAACCCCTCTGGTTGCGGAAACCGTGGATGGGGTGACGATCACAAAGATGAGCCAACCCTCAACCGGACCCCGCTGCGCGCGGGGGCTTGAGGAAAGTTGGACTCGCACGAAGACCAAACGCATGGTCGCAGAACAACAGACCCCCGTAGGGGTCGAAGTCAGGAAAGACCTTTTTCAACCCACCTAATCTCACGGCTATACCCCCGAGGGGTCCAATCTCGATGAAAGGGAATTGTTGTCCCTAGGACATGCCGTGGGTGACAAAAGAAGGCCAAGGCCATCAGAGTCCTCCCATCCAGAAAAGCCTCTGAATGAGTATTCTACTCCTCCGTAGGCTCGAGGGCTACTGTCGGGGACTAATACTAGGGTACCTGAAGAGGAGGAGCTAAGGACCATCAACATTGAGTCATCCGAGTAGTCAAGAGCATGACTATGGCTCCAACCGACCCCCAGGTGCGCAAGCTCCACCTCGCCCGACCCCGAGGCCACGAGCTCTGCCTTGTCTAACCCCGAGGCCGCGGGCTCCACCAGACCCGACCTCTAGCGGAAGGCTCTGCCTCGCCCGACCTCGAGGCCATGGGCTCCGCCTCGTCTGACCCTTGGGTTTGCGCCGCCTCGCCTGACCCCAAGGCCGCGAGCTCTGCCTCGCCCGACCCTCGGGTTTGCGCTCTACCTCGCCCGACCCTAAGGCCGCAGGCTCCGCCTCGTGCGACCCTTGGGTTTGCACTCCACCTCACCTGACCCCAAAGCCATGGGCTCCGCCTCGCCCGACCCTTGGGTTTACGCTCCGCCTCGCCTGACCTCTGGGGGCGGGCTCCGCCTCGCGTGACCCCTGGGTTTGCGCTTCGCCTCGCCTGACCTCTAGGGGAGAGCTCCACCTCGCTCGACCCCGAGGCCACGGGCTCCACCTCATCCAACCCTTGGCTTTGCGCTCTACCTCGCCCGACCCTCGGGTTTGCGCACTGCCTCGACCGACCCCAAGTCCGCAGGCTTCGCCTCGCCTGACCCTTGGGTTTGCGCTCTGCCTCGCCCGACCCCAAGGCCGTGGGCTCAACCTCGCCCGACCCTTGGGCTTGCGCTCTGCCTCACTCAGCCTCTAGGGGACGGCTCCGCCTCACTCGACCCCGAGGCCGCGGGTTCCGCCTCGCCCGATAGAGACCCATACCACCGCCAACCACTCCAGGTCTAAGCGTATGGGCCTAGGTCAAAGCTCTGACACCAAGGAAGAGACTGGCGCGCCCTGATGTAACCTGTGGCCATGACAGACCATACCTAAGGATTCACATTAGGAATAGCGTCGGTCGTACCGGTGTTGTTCTGCCAAACCCTCGTACGAGCGCTGACACGCGTGTCAGCTCACCACGACGCCCACTGTGATGGAATGGAACGCCATGACCGACAAACAACGTCTACGCATGGCGCTAGTACAGAAAGGGCCGCGACGTGGAGCTATCCCTGTTGACATTTACAGGGTCATCGGGACCCGCATGAAGGAGAAGAAGGACCCGGCGATCCTAGAAGAACTCCTCTCTTTTCTTCTCTTTTCCTCCATTGTAACCCGTGCTTTCCCTTGGCCTATAAAAGGGAAAGCAGGGCATCCCATGAGGGGCATCTGACCTATCCTGACCGATCGATTTAGGCTAGACCCGAGCTGACCGACGAACCCCGAACCTCGAGATGACAAACACACGAGCGCACGGCTAAGCAGCGTCCGAGCTCTCGGCACCCGTTCATTCTTTCCACCAGAGACTTGGGACATGTCCCTCTCTCGTTCGTTTGTAACCCCTACTACAAACTTTTGGTGCTAGTAACACGAGCAGCAACGAACTAGACGTAGGGACTTTCTGTCCGAACTAGTATAAACCTCGTGTCCTCTAAACACACCATCCGAGCCAGACACGCAATATTTGAAATTTACTCGTTCGTGGTAACTCGAAACACCGACACAAAGCTAGGTCCCTTTGTGCTAAAGAATGTTTGGAAAATATGCCGAGAGGAGCCAAAGTGGAAAACATAAAATGAAGACCTAAGGAATGCACGTAAAAGGAAGTCATATCACATTGAAGGAGAAGTGGAGGAAAATGATGATATTGAAGAAATGCCAGAGCGACCTAGTGGACAGAAGGCAACCAAAAAGGCCGCTCTTGCTGCAAAAGGGAAGTCCAAAGGATCAAATTTGGATGATGATGGAAAATCAAAGGAATCGGTGATTGATGTGGAGAAGCTTGACAAATTTCGCAAAATCCAAGATTATTTAAATGCAAACCTCATGAAGGTATTGGAAGTACAATAGAAGTTATTATCCGAGAAGCTTGAAACCACGAGACTGGCACATCTTACAGCTAAGGAGACCACCGAGGCAAAAAGGCTTGAGAAGGAATCAAAGATGATGCATGCTTACAACACTCTCGTCTCTCAAGATACAAGTTCAATGTCCGATGAAGAAAAAGCTGAGCGTGTTGCTGCCATAAAGTGTTTTAGGAAGACTTTATTGCCTGAAATGATCTAGTCAAGTATGCACACATGCTGTTTCAGTTACCTGTATGTTACCTGTCAATCTTAGTTGTCAGTTTCAGTATCCTGTATGTTATGTTACCTGTTAGGTGATGTTTGGATCAATAGTCCAAACACTAAAGTTTAGCCCCTAAACTTTACTACTGTTGGGCTGTTTAGATCCATGGGCTAAACTTTAGTCCTCTAATCTACAATGACTGATTTACCCTCATTTAATTATCCATGCACAGCCATGTATGTGAGCGGCAAGGGATATGGGGCGTCCAGCGCCCCCCCCCCCCAGGGAGTTTAGCCCAATTTAGGGTCTTTCTGGGAGCAAAAGATTTTAACCCAGTTTTTAGCTATTTGCTCACTTTTAGCCCCCCTGTTTGGATCCCCATGGCAAAAAAGGGCTAAAAGTGCAGGGCTAAAATTTTCCCATGGGATCCAAACAGGGCCTTAGTTTACATGTATGTTATTTGTCAGTTGCCTACACCCATCCTTGTTCACTTCTTCAGTTCACTAGAATTGATATATCTGTTCATTTCCACTAGCAGGGAAAAGGAGGAAGCCATGGTGAGGTGTGTTGGAAATTCTACCGATGGCATGGTAATTCTCAGTCTTGTTTCAGTCTTAGTTGTCTGATGACATGATAATTTTCAGTCTTAGTGTTTCAGTCTTAGCCGTATGATGGCATGATAATTTTGCTTGAAACCTGTCTTTTGCTTTGTCAACTGAAACAAGCCGTTATATGGTTTCTGGTGTGAAACTATCTCCTTGTGTGAACCTATCAAACATTTGCATGTCTCCCTGTTTGAATCTGTCAAACGTTTGTATGTCTCATTGTTTGAATCTGTCAAACGTCTGCATGTTTGCTTGTGTGAAAATATCAATCATCTGCATGTCTCCTTGTGGGCTGGAAAATCAAAAGTCTTCACGTCTCCTGCCGTAGGTTGCAGACTATAAAAAGGTCGCTGGACTCCATTCAGTCGGCATATGGGATCTCTTCAGTAGTTAGCAACACAATGATATATAAAAATGATATTCATGATTGATTTTGGCTACATACAAGCATTAAATGATTTGTATATAGCCAAATAGATAACCACTATCTGTGGATTGTATGAGCTGTCTGTGTTGTAAATTCTAAGAAATTAGAGACAGCAGCTGTCTGTTGTACATGTTTAGCTTAATTAGCAAAGAGAATGTGCATTGTGATGTGTGCGGCAATTAAGTCTTTTGCGAGACTACTTATTGGGTCCTAAAATTGCTTGGCTGTTTTAAATAAATAAATCGGTTGAGACAACACGTTCAATTGACTTGCTCATGAGTTAGTTTAATTAGCAAAGAGTGATAAAAAAATCTCTTATATAGATTTGTCATGATAAGTACTTTCATAGTATCATATTTAATTTGAAGAAAATCACAACCCTTGATTTTCTTCTATAAAATAAACAGTGAAATAATTAAAATAATTAGGTAAAAAAGAAAATACTGGCTAATAAATGAGGGTTTTTTTATCCACGCCATTACAATTCTCCAAGTTTGAGATACACTATTATAATTCGTTTGTTCGGAGGTCTTTCGTTATAATTCCACCACTCCTCCATTCATGCCATTTTCTACACCCCTGTATGTACATGGGCACACTGTCAGGTACATATGCCTATAGAAATACCAGTACAGCCCATTGCGCGTGAGGTGGAGCGGCGGCCTGCCTCAACAGAGGAGCGCATTGGGCATGGTGAACACACACGCCATCGCCACCTGCAGCTGCGCCACCATCTCCTCCGCGGCGGCCATGGCGAGGTCACTGTGGCCAAGGAGCAGCACACCGGCGTCGTCCGGTCGGAGATGCAGTACGAGAATTGGTGCATGCTGGCCTGCATCACGAAGGAGAGCGTGCAGGCCGACCGTCGCGGTGCTGTTGGGGGAGGAGTCATACGCGGTGGACATGCAGCCCAACATGGACCGCAGCGACCGCGCCAACAGGTCCCGGGAGCTGCACTGTGTGGAGCCGTAGGGCACAGCGGTGAATGTGGCCGAGGCCCTCGGGCGGAACGACTCGACCATGGCAGCGCCAAGCGCCAAGTTGCGCAGAGCAGCCAGGAGAGCTCGCTGCCGGTGTCGAGCCACGAGAACTCCCTGGTGGAACCGCAGCTTGCTGGGCAGCCGCGGTAGCGCCCCCGTCGGCACCTGCCACGCGCGCAGCGGCAACGCACGAAGACCGATGCCCGGCCTGGGCGGTTCGCCGGCGATGGGCCACGACCGCGGCACAGCGATGATTTTGGACTTGGCAGGCAGTCGCGGCACTGGTCGGACGCCCGTGGACAGGTGGTGGCGATGATGGCAATGGTGGTGCTGGCTGGCTCTGCCGCAGGGGAGATGGTGGCGCTGCTACAGGTGGCCATGGCGTGTGTGTCCACCGCTCCCGACGTGCTCCTCCATTGAGGCAGGCCGCCGCGGGCAAGTGCGGCCGATCCGCCTCACGCGCAGGCCGCTGCGGGCGAGCGCTGCTGCTCCGCCTCACGCGTCATGGGCTTGTATGCATTATGTGCTTAACAGTGGGCTCATATACACGAGAAGTGTAAAAAATGGCATGAACGAGAGGGATAGAATTATAATGACAAATTCTCAAATAGACGAACTGTAATAGCGTATCTCAAAACTTCAAGAATTTTAATGTCCTGGATCCTTAAAAACGCAATAAATAAATAAATCCCAAGCAACACGGTCATGCCTCATGCGGCCATGCTGTTCTCGCAAGCGGACACCCCGCTGCCTTCCCTACCTCACATACTTAGGGCCTGTTTGGCAGGGCTCTGGCTCCTCTGAAAATGGCTCGGCTCTGGCTCCTCTGAAGGAGCAGCTCCTCTGGAGGAGCTGAAGCCGTTCTGGAAAACGTTTGGCAAAACGGCTCCTTCGCACTAGACGACGTGAACCCACAGCAAGGAGCCACGTGAAGCTCGTTTTTTAGGCTTCTCCTGCGCAGGCAAAAAATGGCTCTGGCTCTTGATCGGCTCCCCATGCGGAGCTCTTTCCAAAACAAGCGTTTGGCACAGCTCCTGCAGGAGCCGGAGCTGAAGCCCCTGCAGGAGCCCTGCCAAAGAGTCTCTTACAGTTTCTTTCCCATTAATGTTAGTTTTAGTGTAGTTTCCATCCTAAACTCTGATTTTTATTTATGGACCAAAATATGTGACGCTCATGTTTGTCTTTGTCACGTACAAGAGCCTATTTGGTAGGGCTTTTGCTCCAATTTCACAAAGCTGTTTTTCAGTTTCTTCTACCAAATAGGTTCGGATAAAAACTTCTCCCTAACATTTTCATCTCCTCTCACAGCGCAAAAAAAAACGATGTGAATATGAAAATACTAGCATCTCCCGGCTTTCTCTCTGTTTTCTTCCCTGAAAAGCTGTTTTACTAAACGTTTTTTGAAAACAGCTTTAGCTTTACTGCTGAAGCTGTTTTATTATGGAACTGAAGCCAAAATAAAACTACTTCACCAGTAAAGTTGAGCTATACCAAACCCAAGTTTCACAACTTTCTCAGAGCCGCCTTTCGTGCCTCGCTATTCTTCCTGTTAAATTTTTCATGTGACGGATAATATGTTGCTAATAAGGTCAAAGTTTTCTACATGTGCCAAGAAATTTTGACGTTTGGCACGCACATGAGCTTGTCGATTAGCCATGGTCCACGATCATGCCTCGGTTTCAAACTGGCAGGAATAAACTATCGGCGGCGGCGGCGAGATCCCAGGATTTTGTGGAAATTAGGTAGCGGCAATAATTGCAGCGGTTTCTGGACATATAGAAGGAACGAACCCATGAAATTTCGAGAACAACACACTTGAAACCAGTTCAGATTTATGCTGTAGCGAAAGACGAGGTCACGATAAAACTGAGGGCAGAGATGGCGCCCCATAGGGCCAGGAATAGAAAATAAATAAAAGAAAAAAAACACAGAAATCTATATCTCTTATAAAGCTAAACCCCACTATAAATTTTATCTCAACATGCAAGACATTCACATCATTTTCCACTATCTATCCACATCACCTCCCACTAATAACCATGTCATCCCACTAATTTTCAATCTTTTAATGCAAGCTGTTCACACCATCTCCACTAAGCACAATTTAATTTTAACATATAAGAAATATAAAGGCATTCATATATTGCTATTTCTTTTGTCATTCCATAGCCTTGCCTTCTCTAATTTTGGTAAGAATGGATATAAGAATATATAGGTTTAATTCATACATGCACATATATTGCTATTTGTTTTGTCATGTAGCCTTGCCTTCTCTAATTTTGGTAAGAATGGATGTAAAAATATATAGGTTTAATTCATACATGCAAGAATTTTTTATTTCTAAGAAAGTTCCGAAGCAACGCGCGGGATATTCTTCTAGTAAGATAGAAATGTATCCAGAAAATAGAGGAGTGGAAAAACAAAGAAAACTACACAAATTGGTGTTTTGAGTGGAGGAACCAAGAGCACAGGAAATAGATTTTATGTGAGCCCTGATTGGAGGGGGGGGACGCTTACAGCCAACCAGGTCAAAACATGTGCTTTGCCGGTCAGCATTTGTGATACATAGTACTAAGCAATGACAGTGGTGCAGATCACCCTCTTCTTTGTGCGCTTTGCCTCGAGGAAAACTGAAACCATCACTACCGGAATCCTCAAATTTACCGAGTGTTTTTATGTTTGCCGAGCGTATTTCCTCGGGCACTCGGCAAACAAGATCTTTGCCGAGTGCTGCTTTAAAAACACTCAGCAAAAAAAACACTCGACAAAGAGCGGGTTTGCCGAGTGTAAAAAAAAACACTCGGCAAACAGGGGGTTTGCCGAATGTTAAAAAAACACTCGGCAAAGAAATAAAATCTTTTTTTCTGGAAAAAAAGAAGAAAAAAAATGAAAAAAAACTTTGCCGAGTGCTCAGGTCTAAAGCACTCGGCAAATGAAAAAAATACCGCCTCCCTCTCTCCAAATCCGCGCGCCCGGCCCCTCCTCCCTCTCTCCTCTCCAAATCCGTTGCCGCGCGCCCGGCCCCTCCTCCCTCTCTCCTCTCCAAATCCGCCGCGCTTGCTCAGCCCCTCCTCCTCTCTCCTCTCCAAATCCGCCGCCGTGCGCCCGGCCCCTCCTCCCTCTCTCCAAATCTGCCGCCTCGGCCCCTCCTCCAAATCCGCCGGCCCGGCCTCTCCTCCCTCTCTCCAAATCCGCTGCCCCGCCTCCCACTCTTCAAATCCACGCGCCCTGCCCCTCCTCTCACCTTTCTTTCCCGGATCCGGCCGCCGCACCGCCCCTCCTCCCCGGATCCGACGGGGACCCCGCCCCTCCTCTCCCTTTCTCCGACCGCCGCCCCGCCCATCCTCTCACCTTTCTTCCCCGGATCCGGCCGGATCCTGCCGCCGCACCGCCCCTCCTCCCCGGATCCGGCGGGGACCCCTCCCCTCCTCTCCCTTTCTCCGGCCGCCGCCCTGCCCCTCCTCTCACCTTTCTTCCCTGGATCCGGTCGCCACACCGCCCCTCCTCCCCGGATTCGGCGGGGACTCGCGGGGCGAGGCCTCACGTCGGCGGCCCCATGAGAGGCGGCGGACTCCGTGGTGGTGGGTGCGGGCTTCATGGTGGTGGGCGCGATGGCCGACCGCGAGGTGGTCGTGGTCGAGGCGGGACCCAGCTTCGGCACCGGCAGCTCGGGCATGGTGGCGTGGCGGGCTTGGTGGCGGCGGGAGGCAGCTCGGCCTGAGTGGCGGCGGGAGGCAGCTCGGTGGTGGCGTGGCGGCGGGAGGCAGCTCGGTGGTGGGCGACGGTGGTGGTGGCGGCGGTGGTGCTTGTTTTTTTTTGAAAAATGTTTGCCGAGTGTTTTTTGGGCACTCGGCAAAGTCTTTGCCGAGTGCCCGACAAAAAACACTCGGCAAAGATTCTTTGCCGCTAAAAAATTTACGGAGTGCCCTTTGCCAAGTGTTACACTCAGCAAAGGGATTGCCGAGTGTTTTGTGCCTTTGCCGTGTGCCCCTGTTCCCGGCAGTGCATCAAACGACAGGACTCTGCCAGCAGCTTCAAGTTCCACACTGAAAAAGACCATGCATCTAAAGTCTGCGAGTCGCGACACCGGCCGGCTGACTCGTTTGTTTCGGTGTGACATACAACGTCCTAGGCGATGGGCAGATTGGCGATCACAGATCGCGCTCCAGGAGTCTTATAAAACAACTTTTTTATTTTTATTTTTAAGTAAAAAAGTATCCTCCAATAATTTAGTAAAAACCTCTTTAATAAATAGAAAAATATGCCAAATATTCTCTTCAACTCATAAGTTTCCACAGCCTATAGGAACTCTATATGTGAGTAAATTGGAAGCATGAGTAAATTAAAAAAATAAAGGATTCCAAATGAGAAAGCTTTGTTGGTTAGAAATAGTTCGGGGGAGGGGGGAGGGGTTCCCAATGCATAATCATTTATGAAGCTATTATAGCATGCTGTTGCACAAGAACAAAATTTAAGGTTTCTATTTATTATGTTAGCTTACTATAGATCTATTAGTTTAGCAAGTGAAATATTCCAAACTCCTAAAGATGCTCTAAAGAAATCCGCATCATTTTCCACTACCTATCCACATCACCTCCAACTAATAACCATGTCATTTACTAATTTTCAATCTTTTAATGCAAGCTGTTCACACCATCTCCACTAAGCACAATTTAATTTTAACATATAAGAAATATAAAGGCATTCATATATTGCTATTTGTCTTGTCATTCCATAGCCTTGCCTTATCTAATTTTGATAAGAATGGATATAAGAATATATAGGTTTAATTCATACATGCACATATAATGCTATTTGTTTTGTCATCGTAGCCTTGCCTTCTCTAATTTTGGTAAGAATGGATGTAAAAATATATAGGTTTAATTCATACATGCAAGAATTTTTTTTTCTAAGAAAGTTCCGCAGCATCGCACGGGGTATTCTTCTAGTAAGATAGAAATGTATCCAGAAAATAGAGGAGTGGAAAAACAAAGAAAACTACACAAATTGGTGTTTTGAGTGGAGGAACCAAGAGCACAAGAAATAGATTTTATGTGAGACCTGATTGGAGGCGGGAAAACGCATATAGCCAAGCAGGTCAAGACATGTGCTTTGCAGGTCAGCATTTGTGATATATAGTACTAAGCAAT